TAATGCTACCAAAGAAGTTGAAGTCAATTGACTTGAAAAAGCTATTTTTAATCATTTTATTGTCGTCGCTGCCCGCTGAAAGATTAATTATAAAAAAAAAAATTTTTTTTTGCTTATATAGAATTGGTCAACTGGCTTAAATCAAAAGAACTGTTGAAATTCATGAAAATACCAATGGATACATGATAGGTATCATGATTCCTAAGATAAGCTACTGATATTTGTTCATAATTTTCGTTGATGATTGTAAAAAAATTTTCAGTCAGAATAACTTTTGGAAAATTATTACTAGAAAATATTTTTTTTACAGTTAGAATTTTCTTTTTACAGTAATTTTTGTGATTTGATACTAAAATTTTTTTGAAAAAAAAAAAAAAAGGAAATTAGCGATAGTTTATTTCTGAATGCTGTTAAGCACACCAGAAGCCCGGTTTTTGCATTTTTGTTCTTTGATCATTTGGGCTTCTTTGTATGCTTACCATATTTATACAGTTTGATTTGTTCGGATATCAAATCGCACAATGAAATGCCTTTTAATGTTTGCCGTTTACCCAAGTAGACAGCCTAAATAAATAATTAAATATGTGTATATATATATTTTATTTATTTATTTATTTATCTATATAGAAATCGCGTAAAAAATTTTATATCTTTATATATATGAAAGTTGTTTGACGATTATTTTTATCTTCTAAACAGAATGCTTTTAAAATTTTTTGACTTTTTTTCATCAGGTTAAATATAGTAACATTGTGAAATGTTTACCAAATTTATCATTTTTTGGTTATCAACACACCAAAAACGTTGTTTTAACATCTATGAGCTTGTAGAAGAAAAAAATTTTTCTCTTTTATTGGCTTAAATGATCATCCCGAATTAATCTTACATGTCACTTTGATGAGCGGTAAGCCGTTTACTTTTTCTCTTCATTTGTTCTAGTTTTTTCCACCCAATTAATATGGTAGTCAAACACTGATTAAGTATGTTAAAACAGCAAAAGACTGATGAATCTAAGAATAGAGTAGTGGCAACAATAGTAGCAGTAGTAGCAGCAATACTAATAGTTTGAATAGTAATAATAGTTGCTATAGTTGTAGTAGAAGCAAATTCGACGGTATAATCAATTTATCCAGATCAGCCGATGTATTGCTTAAACAATATTATGGTTTTTTTTTT